AAGAAGACAACCAAATTGAGTAGGAGCCAAAAGACAGGTGAGCAGTGGAAAACCTTTGGCAATCGACAACCATTGAAATTGGAACATCGCTAAGCATAACAGCGCGGAGCAGATGGTAGCCCATATTCACCACCTCTAATCCGCAGATTCCTTAGCTGAACCTAAACACAGAAATACCCAATTTCTCTCAATCCGTTGCTCAACAACTCCTCTATCTCTGAGCCCTATCTCCTGTCAAAAACTTGTATGCGGCAACCCAAAATGGGTTCAAAAAGAAGACCTGACCAGCTTTCCTCCACTCGCCCTCTACAGTGTCAATGTCATCACCCTTCTCGTAAATAAACACAATGCATAGATGCCTCTGCTCCATGACAGGCACGACGATATCCCAGATATTCACATCATGGTAACTTCATGCTTCTCATGTGCATGATGCAGCCACTGTCATGGTTAACTTAAAGTGGGACATTTAAGCTTACTGCCGGTTAGCAACTCGCCATGGTTAACTTCCGGTGAGACATTTCAACTTACTGCCTGTTAGCAACTCGCCATGGTAACTTCCAGTGGGACATTTCAACTTACTGCCTGTTAGCAACTAGCCATGGTAACTTCCAGAAGTAGCTTCCAGCAGTGATCTTCGGGTGGCAATATTCAGAAGCAGCTTTCTGTGGTAACTTACCGTTTGTGGTAACTCTCGACAGAAATTCCGCACGGTAACTCCTGGTGACGACTCTGGCGTTCACTCTTAGAGAGTCTGAGGTAAATTCCAGTGGTAACTACTAACTTCCAGTGATGACTTCCACCGCCGTGGAGACATCCACTGCTAACGGTATGTGTAATCGGAGGACGATAGGTGATGCCTTGAGAGTCAGGCAAACCATGTCTTTCAAGCTTAAACACATAATAAAAACATCCGTGCAGCCGGCAGGCTACTCCTCAAGGAGAGACACGACGCATAGTGCCTATCTTCCAAGGTCCAAGAAGCAGAGGCAGAGCAACACTGCTGCAACAGCGTCATATCAATCGACTTATTGTGCAGAGACTTCACTCCCTTCAGTCATTGATGCCATTCTCGTTGCGATCTGTTCAGCACCTAGTTCCTCAAGTAGGAACAGGACAACCCCTGTCAATATGTGTTGGTTCAGGCTGTTGTTCTCTTCGTCTCCTCTCTTCTCTCCTTTTATCTCCTGTCCTTCCGTCTTTCCTTTTCTCCTTCCTTAGCCCTCCATCCCACCATTCTCCCTGTGTCCCTGCGCACCTGTTGTCTTTGACAGCTCATCCAACAGCTCTTATCTAATTCTCTTTCTCCTATCCGGTCCCGTTCTACTCCTCACCTCTTACCTGTCGTCTCTGAACATCTGTTACTATTTCTGGTCATTTTTTTGTCCCTCTCACAGGCTCTCTGCACCCTTTCTCTGGTTCCTTTGAGTCTGTATACACACTTTCTCATGGAGGGTGACTCCCCACTCCTCATTTCTTACTCTATCATGGATTCATGATTGAATCCAAGGCCCTCAACTTCTACTTTCTTCTCCTTCTGAAACGTTTGTATAACCTTGATGATGGCATTAACAGACGTACTCAGTTCACTCTCCCTTTGTCCATTTTGTGGATCAGTCTCTCCACCCCTCCAGGACTCGCTCTTGTGGAATGCGCTTTATATGATTAATCATTTGCAACCTCATCATTGCCCATAATTCAAAGTTTTTTTCAAACTGTTGTTGTGTTTTGCTCCTTCCTCGTCTCAAGTCTGTTCCTTCTCAGCTCTCTGCCCAATACGGTGTAGCCGCTGACCGCAGCTGCATCAGTACTTCGTTCTGTGCCTCCTGACTCACTTAGCTCTGCTCTACATCTGTAGATAGATGTCAATCTGGAAGATCTATGATTCTATTATATTGATATCCTGGCCTGGCTAACAACTGAATGTTACACCTCTACAAGTACAAATCAATCGATCAATCAATCAAGAATTACAGGCCTATACTTTACAATAATTTAAGGGGTGTCCTCAACTATTGCTTAGGAGTTTTTTTAGCTCAGCACAGGCTCAGCCTGACCGACTGTAATGATCTCTGACAATCATGACGCCACCCACCACCCTCTTTTCTCTTGTCGTCACACGTGATGACTGTCCTGGTGCATTCAGCTGATCTTTTTCGATTCAAACTTCAAAGGGCCTGAGCTGACCTTTCATAGGATTAACAAGGGGTGCCATAGAGAGTGACCATTGACCACACCCAGTAGCTGCTTGTTTTGTGAAAAATGTGGTGCGCTGGCCATGCAGTGAGTAGTCAGTCGCTCCAGTTGTGGCCCTCACGACCCACCCTGAACAACATCCAGTTGCGTTCAAGCTTCAGTCATTCTTGCCACAACAGCACTTTGAAGCTCTCCTGTCAACTTGATTTCCTGGCAAATGCCTCAAACCACTCTTTCCCCTCTTTTCCGTGCCCGGCAGTCTCTGTACCCGGTTAAGGCTCACTTTTGGCTTCTCAACCGCTCTCGGCCCTTTCTTCTCCTCTGCCCTTTTTGCAGGACCTCCGGCTCCTCGTTTACCAGTTTTCCTATCACCTGCTGGCGGTAGCAGGCCCGCCGCCGCTGGGCCACAATCCCTGGAGTTGTTTGCTACCTTCCCTACCTGTCCTACAATCATACCAACACCCCTCCCATTACCCTTCTTCACAACAAATACATAACCTCCACCATTAGCCTCTGTTGTGCCGGTCGTCGGCTGCGCTCTGAGAGAGAGATAACCCTTCGCCAACGTCCCGACAATTCTTGTTGAAGTATTCTTTGCAGTAACGTTGCTCCCACCAGCCCAGGAGACTCCCCCACCAGCTCCCCATTCCTTCTTTCTGCCCGTGAGAGTACCTCTACCACTGGGTCTGGCAGATGATACACCTCTTTTGACGCCACCACCTCGTGCCCCTCTCTCATCATGGCTGTCTTCTGTGGAAATATCGCCCTCTTTAGCAATGCCAGCCTCCTCCTCAGTCACCATGCTTCCCGAGTCCACGGTGTCATCCGCAAGTACTGTTGCGCTCTGCCCATCCACAACTGGTAGGGACTCTGCAGCCGTTGTCGCCCTTCCGTTCCTGGATTCCACCATCGCTGAAGTCCTGACATCCGTTGCGCTTTCATCTGCTTTCTTTTCTTGTCCTTCTTCCGTTCGATGCTTTGTCAGCAAAACAAAGCACTTGTCCTTCATGTCTTTGCCCATTCTGTCGTGTAGGGGGATTGATGGCTGCGCCAAACACACACCTCTCTCCAAAGTCGTGCACCCAGCCCTTCCCCCCGCCGAAGTTGATAGCAGCGAATTGCACCTCCTTTTCCAAGGGCTACAAGAGCAAGGCGAGCTGTCTTTTTCACAGCCAACACTGTCACCGGGAGCAGATGGCTCATTTGGCTGCGGGGCGTTGTTTCCTACTGTAGCCTTCCTGCAGTTCACAGGGTTAGTGGCACTACCGTTGCATCCACTTCGTATCTGCCTGGCACTGTTTGTGCTGCAGATCACATGCTTACCGGCCCTGTCGCTGCGCCCTTCCCCTAGCAGCCCACTGGGAAGAGAGGGACGGTCACCTCCTGCATGCCCTTTAGCCAGAAGCTCATCCACAAGTCTATCTAAAGAAGAGCCGTTCAACGGTAGATCTAATCGATGGACGACCTCACCTTCTTGCTCACCCCGAAGTACGTCACTTTCTGCAGGAGTCACACCTGCAAGATCCTTTTTACCCCCCCGTACAATGACCCCCCTATCAGTTTGATCACCACCATTAGTGCCCCCATTGCCAGACTTGTGAGCTGCATTCGGGTCCAAATCAGGCGTTTTTGTAAACGAGTCCATTCTCCTGCCTGCTTCCTGTTCACCTTCTTCCTCCAAGCCTGGACCCAGTAACAAGCCTTCTGAAGACATTTCTACCGTGAAATGGTGGCCCAGTTTCTCTGGCAGGCGTGCGTGATGATGCGCATCCTCATCGTCATCACAAATCTCAAGCTTCCAATCTCCTTGCGAGGGAGCATACTCTGCACTGTTCAGCCCCCTGTCGTCTGCCTCAGGCAGACACTCCCTCAAGTTTTCCACCCTCTGCGGAAGCAAAGACGATGCGCTGCTCCTGCCCATGTTTCTGCCTGAAAGAACTATACCTGCTAGAACATCAACTGCAACCTTATCAACACCTACCATATTTTCCACCCACACTGTTGTTGACGAGGGATCCCCGCAAATCAGGCTAGTTACAACATGGTCTCTAACGTAACCCACCTCGAAGGAGTCTCCACTGACCTTCTCCCGACTCCGTGGGCCCAAGCAACTACGGTGACAATCATCTGCCTCACGCCTATCAACCCGCAACACATGTTTCCCCCCCTCTGCACTTGCACGATGACAGGGCTTAGCTGCTGCCTTGACCTCCTTGTCCAAGCTCTGGGTAGCCTCTCCTCCTCCTCCACGTAAGGTATCCTCCACACTGGCCATCCTCAGGCAGTTTCTGTCAGGAGCTGTTCCGAGCCTGCCACCATTACCCACAAGCAGCTTGCCCTGCATGGGGCTGACTATGATCTCCATGGCAGTGCTGGCAGTGGAAGCTCTGCCATCGCTGTTGGTTGCGCAATCCTCTCTCTGTGAGAGCCAACTAGCCTGCACAGAGCTCCACACAGGTAATACTCCCCTGTCCTGATGCTCCTGTTCTGCGCGCTCGCCGTAAAAAGCCATCTGCTGATAAAGGCGAGCGTTAAGCGGACATGCACCGGCAACGTGCCTCTCTCCCTCCAGATCATGTGAGCACCAGACGAACTGGTGTGCTGTCAATCTGCTGGCACTCATGTCTGCTCGACCTCGAGCCCACTTCCTGTCGTCCACAGAGATCCGCCGATTAAGAACTAGACACCTAGGACTTGCTCCGCGTCCTCCTGTAAGGTACTTCTCATACGAATCTTGAGTTCCAACTGGTGCAAATCTTCCAACATCGTAGTTCACATCGGCTGAGTCCAGGGTGCCGTCCTCAGCGGCTGTGATCCCATCTCCAGCATTGGCTCCAGAGCATTCCACATGGGGGAACGTATCTCTGCTTGTTTCCTCCGTCCGGCCACTGCTGCTTGCCTTCACCGGCGAACAACATTCAATGCATCTAGAAGCATGAGCATCTACCTTGCTACTTTCTCTGCGGTCACTTCTCACAGCAGAGGCAACAGTTTTCGCAGTCGTGGCTTCTTCTAATCCTCTTATTGTACTCACGACGTTCGTCACTTGGAGAGAATCATCGTCCTGCTCATCACCAGCACCATCGTCAGATTCGTCACTGTCATCCTGAATCGGGTCCATCTGAAGGTCATGTATTTCGACACATGGGCTATCGCAGTCGGTAGCATGAATGCCCGGACACCCATCCTCGTCCCTACATGGTGACAGTGGGAAGCGAAAAGATGACAGTATGACTGATAGTGCTGAATCAGTTCTGGTATGCCGAGCAGCACGAGGTCTCGAGTTTTTTACATCAACATTTGCATCAGCGCTTGAGGGAGGATGGATCTGTTGTGGAGGCGGCTTCTTCAAGCCTCTCAGGTGATAGCCAACAGTTTGTGATGCGCGCTGGTCGTGCAGACTGAGAAGTGATCCTGACACACTTTCCCTGAACCTCCAGGCACTTTCCACTTCCCCCTCAGCGCCGCCACCTGCGGCATTCCTATCACCAGCGGACATGTTTATCAGGCCCTGCATATCATGTGTCGTGTCGTCGTTTAGCATGTCGAGTGGATTGACATCATGAAAAGTGTCATATGTGTCATTCCGCGAGGCCACGACTTTGGTCGCACTCTCTGCCCTGTTATTTGCATCACCGTCAGATGGGAATGGACCCGCTTCTTCCCCTGTGCTTACTGCTGCCGGTGACATGGCCACCTTGAGGAGCACCGTTTCCGGTGTCCTCGGCACTGCTTCCGGGAGCTGCCCACTGCAATCTCCAGGGCGACAACAACAATTATGCGCATGCTCTTGACTCGCACAGTATTCTTCTTTTAGCCCTACCACAGACTGGACCTGGTGGTCGCAAACACATTCTCCATCGACGATCTTTTTCCGGTGTCCTGCCTGAATTCTCTTCATTTCGTCGCGCAGACCAGCGAGCTCCTCTAAGAGAGCTTCAGCTCTTTTTTCAGCCTCCATTTTCTGCCTCACCGCGTCTTCCACCTCAAGTCTCTGCTGCGCATCGCGTCCATGAAGCTGCATGTTCTCCTTACAAACTATATCCATATCATCCTTCATATGTCGGAGCTCGCTCTTACAACACTCCATCTCTCTCTCCAACAAAATATTTTTCCTCTCCAGGTTGAATGCCTGCTGCCTCAAGAGCTCCTGTGCGACGAGGTCTTGTCCACCGCCGCCTTCCGCTGTCCTAGCCTCACACATACCTCCCAAGCTCTTCCCTCTCATACGCCGCCGAGTCTTCCTCCATTCCTTCCACTCCTCATCGCCCAAACCACCACTGGGAGTGCTTTCCCCATCAATCAGCTCGTCGATTTCTTCATCCTCATCGAATACACAGTAACTCACACTTCGCTCAGCCCGCGATGTCAGCTTCTGAACGTTACAAGCATACGATTGACTAACTTCGTTCAGTGTTTTCAGGATGCTCCGCAGCTCTTTGTTGCGCGACTCCTCGAGCTTCCATACTTTTGCCCTGTCCAACGACGAATCACATAGCAGATAAGAACTAGCCAATCAAAATGCATGAACCATGATTTGAAAAAAAACAAAAGATTTGGTTAGGCTGCTCCGCTTCTCTGGTTTGATCTCCCCCTTCTTTGGATGTCACAAACATGCTTGCTGGTGTGATAAGCACCCCGACTGTTGCCCCCGAGAATAGAAGGGGGCATTGTGTTGTTGTTGTTGTTTTTTAAGGGAAAATTTCAAAAAAAGCATCACCATGCCATTCCCTCCAGCCACTGCACTGCAGGGGAACTAAACTTACTTCCAGTCCAGGAACACCAACTATGCCATTTGCTCCAACCACAGCAGGCGCATAAAAGTACTCGCGGAGGTGAGAGAGCTGAGACACCACCTCCTGTTTTTTTTTTTTTTAATGGTTCTGCAATCAGACTCGTTTTCTTTCCCACTTCGCACACATGCAAACAGATGGTGATTCACACTGGCGCACAGCACCCACTCAAAGCTCAGAGATATGACAATCAATAACACAGTTCAGATGTAAACTCGCTTCAATAAGCTATGGCGCATCAGCGCCTACACTGTCCAACTCTTGTCACTGCGCTCAACACCACTGTTCACCCGCACTCAACCCTAGATCTCCCTGAATACACCCACACACGCTCACTCGATATCCCACACACACCCACACACACAGCTACCTCTACCCTCAGCTAATGGCCGCTCGTCTTTACCGCTATGGCTACAATCTCGCTCTTCAGCCCACTTCATCTTCGGGCAACCTGCAGACCACCTTCGCACAAGTCGCCGTAGCAGCGCTTCCGCGTGGCTTACGCAGCGAATGAATGAATTGCTGGGCGCTTCTCTTGATTTATGCTTCTGTTGCCGCTGGTCTGCCCCTTTCCACCAGGCCCTTGGTGCCCTCAGTCCCACATGGTACTTGCTTAACTGGACTGCGACTGACTGGGACTGGTACTGCTGACTGCATGGGGTTGTACTGCCGACTCGACGCAGTCGCACTGCCGACTCAGTGCAGTTGGGGCTTACCACTTGCCCAATTGCCTCTGGCTAAACGTGAGACAACTTCGAAAGGCCACTTCCGAACCTTCCGGAAGCCTGTGGACTTGGCCTTTCGAATACTGTAGCAGCTACGACCTTGACCTTTCAGGACTGTAGCAGGTACGACTTTGACCTTTCAGAACATCTACAGCTACGACCTCTACAGAGCTGTGACCCCTACTCGACAGATCTACAGATCGAACCCCTACAACTACACAGACCTATGACAGACATCACTCAACTACAGGTCACAGGTTCAAACACTCGGGGGTCAACTCGATACTGTACATGGGCAAGGTAAGGTCTAGGGATTGAACTCTAGTGCCCGCATCTGTGACTGCAGAAACGTGAAAACCGTTTCACTCCCGCCGGCCTAAATTCGAGGTCCTCAGAGAATACTTCAGTCTAAGGCAGGACCTTTACCTTTTTTCTCTTTCGTAAGCCTGACTATGTCGGGAGCTGTCTCTAGAAGTTCTGTTCGCGTGAACCAGCGGTCGTCTTCTGGCTCTTGAAAGGAAAATCTAACTTTGTACTGTTTTTGTGGACGACCTCTACCTCCTGTCCTAAAGACATCCTCACCTACTATACCATCAATGTCGTATTTTCCGTCCATATCCGGAGGTATCATGAATCTACGTGATGGAAACTGCTGACTTGAGACACAAGGCAGCAGCTTTGACGCATGGAACACCGGGTAGGTGTGGAGATGTGCTGGAATCTCAATGGTATAGGATGGTCATCCTCTCCGCCCTTGACTTCTAGGACTGGCCACAGTCCTCTATACGCAGGCAACAACTTTTGTGAGATGTTCTCCTCAGGAGCAAACTCTTTTGACTTGACCCAGACTATGTCGCCTACTTGAAACTGTGAGGGGCAACGGTGGTTGTTAGCTTGCTCTATCATTCTGTGCTGGGCTTTCCTGAGGTTGTCAACAACGGTAGCTATCACTTTCTCGTGCTGTATCGCAAACTCTCGTGTACCGGCCAGTAACGTCTGAATCTGATCTCGGTTAAGTCCTTCAAATGGTCTGCGCGGTCAAAAGGACTTGTGCAATTCATTGGGAGTGCGACATGTGGATAAGTGCACGCTGTTATTGTATGCACTGGCTACCTTTGGAAGCATCTCATCCCAGTTGATCTGGCCGGGCCTAATGTACATTCTAAGGACTTGCTGCAGGAGCTTATTCATCTGTTCAGTCTGACCGGTAGTCTCTGGATGACGGCCAGATGACATCAACAACTTGGAACCATATTCATCTGTTCAGTCTGACCGTTAGTCTTTGGATGACGGCCAGATGACATCAACAACTTGGAACGATAAACTCTCATTAGCTCCTGCCAGTTTTGACTGGTGAACCCGGTATCTCTGTCACTAACTATTGACAACGGTATACCATGCTAACTGACCCAATGGTCAAAAAACTTCTGAACTACTAAGTCTATGCATGCCTCTGCAGGCAAAGGAACAAAAACTGCATACTAAACCTGTAAACTATGACCATGACTTGACTTTTCCCATGCCTACTCTTGACCCTAGCATTCATAAAGTCAATGGGCACAGAATCTTCGGGTCTATCAGGAATAGGCAAGGGTCTGAGAAGACCAAGAGGGGCTCGCGTAGTAGTCTTATTTCTCTGACAGACTTTACAACAGCGGACATACTCTATGCAGTCGGCCTTCATACCAGGCCAGATGTACGCGCGCATGAGGTTGGCTAGTGTCTTTTGCCAGCCAAAGTCTCCCTCTGAGTCATGGCATTCCCCTCAGATCAAACTACGGATCTCTTCACTGTTAGGAACGCACAAGCGGTCAACTACATTAGTCTTCTCAAATAGCAATCCATCAGTAGTGCGGTAGTCTGGTTCAGACTTTGGGGCCTCCCTAACTCCCTTGAGGTCACTATAGATAGGGTCCTGTGCATATGCCTCTCTAACTTTCTGCTGCAGGTCTTTCCCTATATCCAGATAGTGAACTATTGCCCCAAAGGAATCAGCTCTCCTACTCAGAGCGTCCGCTACTACATTGTTCTTCCCTTTGACTGGCTTAAGTTCAAAGTCTTACTGATTTAATTCAGCGGACCACCTAGTAAGCTTAGGTGTCATCTTGGCCTGCGTCTTCAACCACCTTAGTGTTTCGTGATCTTGATAGACTTTAAAGTGCCTCCCAAGCAAGTAATGCTTCCAATGATCTAGTGCTTGCCTGAGAGCGTAGCGTTCCCTCTCATAGGTTGATGTCGCTACCTTCTCTGAAGGCATCCTGGCAGACATGAACTCTACAGGCCTATATCCATTGCCATCATCTTGCTATAAAACAGCACCTATGCCATACTGACTTGCGTCAGTGGTAACAACGAAAGGCAAGGACGGATCGGCTACCTTAAGGACTGGGTACTCTATCAAAGCCCGCTTCAATCTCTTCAGGGCAGATGTGCAGTCCTTGTCCCACTTCCAAATTGCTTATTTCTTTAGCAACCTGCGAAGGGGTGCAGCAATGGTGGAGAAGTTCCTGACTTAACTTCCTATAATAGTTAGCTAGGCCTAAGAACGACCGCAACTCTGTCAGTGTGCGGGGCGTTGGCCAATCTCTAATCGCTGCGATTTTGCTGTCTTCGGGTCTAACGCCGTCTCCGTCTAAGACGTGGCCCAGGTACAAAACCTGTGTCTTGGCCCATTCGCACCTCTTTGCGTTGATCTTGAAGTTAGCTTCTTAAGCTTCTCCAAGACCTGCCTCAGATGTCCCTCATGCTCCTGGAGGGCCTTACTAAACACTAGCATATCATCTAAATATACTACAACAAATCTATCTAACCATGGACTAAACAAATCGTTCATACAACGCTGGAAAGTCGTTGGCGCATTGGGTAGTCCAAAGGGCATAACTAAAAACTCGTTGTGCTCGTACCTAGTCCGGAATGCTGTCTTATACTGATCATCAGGATGAACCTCTATCCGATGATAGTCGGAATTCAAATCTATCTTCGAGAAATATTTGCAGCCCTGCACCCGATCCAACAGATCATCTATACGGGGCAGAGGTTCTACATTCTTCACTGTGATAGCGATAAGACCCCTATAGTCTATACACATCATGAGCTCTCCTTCCTTCTTGGGGACAAAAAGAGCAGGTGCTCCAAATGGAGAGGAACTGGGCCTAATCCAACCTTTCTCGAGAAACTCGTCTAACTGCTTACGCAACTCCTCTAACTCCCTTGGGGACATTCTATAAATCGCTCCCTTAGGAGTCCAACTGCCAGGCTCTATCTCTATGCGATGCTGGATCGGCCGCGGCACTACTCCTGTCGGCGGCTTATACTCCTCCAGCAGCTTGGCAATAGCAAGGTCTATGGGTCTCTCCTCTTTAGACTCAGTGACTGGCCTCACATAGGCTACAAAAACCTGCTCTTCTAACTGCTCCTTCACTAAACGCGCGAACGCGGGACTAAGACAACAATGTGCCAGAGTGTTGTCTACTCCTGACACATGAAACAGGCGACCAATCTTAACTTCACATGTGGGACTAGGGAGCCTACACTCGTGCCCTCTCAAATTAAGTGTGGCCCCTGGTGCCTCTCCCCAATCCATTCCTAGGACTATATCAAAAGGAAGGCTATCCTCTACGAGGAGAGTCAGGGGATGGAGGACTTTCTCCACCTTCCCATCTTTCACTAGGCGAAGGTACGCCTGGACTCCCTCAACGTAATCCTCGACTCGCATAGTGCGATTGTCTGCGAGGATACTGACTATAGGGTCTTCTAATTTTTGGTCTTTCAGGTTCAGCTTCAACTAATTTTTGGACTTTCAGGTTCCTACTAAAATAGTTGCAGGTGGCCCCACTGTCTATAATGGCCCCTACTCTACCTCTGAAATCCTCTACATCTACTAAAACTAGTTGTCCTTTGGCATCTTTCTTCATCTTGGCCCAAGTAGGCATCCTCTCCTTCAACTCTTCAGCCACG